AAAGTACGGCACTTGGCAACCTCTAAAATAATAATTTTTTGCCGAGCTCTTAAGCATTGGAGATGGTCATTTTTTTAAGCTTTTCGTACTTCAAACCGCTTATAACTCGAAAACGGCCAACTTCAGGAAAAAGCTACTGAAGATCGTTTATGTCTAAAATAATCCGAAAACCCTAAAAAAAAATTGCTGGTGTAAAAAATGCAATTATTTGTAATTTGTTTAAAGAAATTTCGAAATTTTGCATTTACAAATTAATACACAATAATTATAACGAGACTTCATGTTTTCAATGTGAGTGCAGTTGAGTGACACTAATTCTTAAATACTTTTGTACCTTAGTGTTTTATTATATGTAGATTTGAAGTATAAGTTAAGGTTTTATTTATAATAGGGTAAGGTTGTCCATATTGAACCTGCTCCTAAATTGAACCCATACGATTTTTCTAATTTGTGATACTCGTATACTGCCACTTATGAATCCAATATTAAATCACCATAAATAGACAAGTGGGTTCCGCTAGAAGGAGCCTTGATTTTATTCGAAGACGTGTCAGTGCTGTGCTATCTCGTTTAGCTATCACTTGAAAGTAATATTTTGTACGCTTCCCTGAGGTAACTGAAAACGTGGTGAGGTGAGAGCAACTTTGATAATAGATAACATGTCAATTAAGGTATATTTTAGAGTAATTGACATATTTTCCAACCATTTAATTTTTTAGTTTGAGGTTATGTTCTAAAGGTGTCCCAACTATACCTACTCCAAATTGCTTAGTGTTTTTTAGAAAAGAACGTAGTGAATACGTTTCTGGTATTTGCATAAAATTCTATTTCTACTAATTATTTATTTTTAGATGGCAAAAGAATATACTGATATGATCCAATGCATACGGTGCAACGCATGGTTCCACTGCCATTGTATAGGTGTAGGTACCAGAAAGCTAAAACAAATTTTGTAATTCTTGTATTGAGTAGTTTTGAAATAATAGAAATATAGAAAATAATACAAAAGGTAAATTTAGCTTTAAGAGCAAAGTTTTTAGTTTCGTAACATTTTCTTTTGTAGAATAGTGGATTTTATCAATAATAATAATTATTGTTTTCGTTACATTATTCTATGATGAATATCGCTAAATAGCATATAGTACTTTCAAGTATGATGTTTTTATAAAAATAACGGTTTTGTTCATTAAGCATGAAGTTATTTTTTCTTTTGTTGCTATTGCTTAATCTTGGTGAATAATGTGTAGGTCCAATTTAGGATGCCTGTGGTTCAATATGGGCAACACGTTTCACAACATCAACCATGTACAATTGTTTTTTCTTTAATTAATTAAAAGGGCACTTCATTATTTTAAATAGTATTTATACATACCTATGTGTTCTCAAATATCCAAAATATATTTTAAACCCACCGGATTGATTATTTAAATGATATTCCCTATGTTTGGGTGATTTTTAAAAAATTGGTTCAATATAGTCAACCTTACCCTATATAAACTACATCTCACTGTAAGAAATTATCACTAACAATCGGTTTACTCAAAACATATGAAGGTAGTTATAAAATATGTCTGATCTAGAAAAGAAGCAAACTGGGGATTAAAAAGTTAAAATTGGTCGATTTATTGCCCATGAGGGGAGGGAAGTGTGACTGGAGAGACACTTGAGTTCAATATTCAAAAATACTTAAATTTTGGACAAAACATTCCAAAATTACGAACATTATGCTTAGTTAAAGTTTAAAATGCACTTTATTTAAAAGCGTACATTTCGTAGATGGGATCATCTTTCAGTGCCGAAAATCCCGTAATGCACGCCACTGTGACCAACTCTTTTGTTTGTCTTATACCTACCCGTTATTAAACAATAAAAATAAGAATTCCTTTCAGATCGACCAGTGGTGCAAAGATTCTGAATGTGTGTGCGTGTGCGTATGTGCAGTTACATACAGCACGTTATGAGTCCTTGGCTAACAGCTTTGTTTTTTTTTGTCTCCTTTGAGGTCAAGAAACGACACGTTTCTTGCCGTTTCCTTCCCCTTTCTCGTTCGCCTACCAGCCTACCTTCTCATTTGGATATGGAACAATCATAGAGGCAAAAATCATGTGCGTCCGCAGGGATTTTTCTCACGGGAAAGTGTATTTGCACTCAAAGCTTTTTGAAGAGCGGGGGTTACAAATTTTCTCAAAGGAGAGAGGCAATTTCAAAAAAATCCCTAAAATTGTATTGAACTGGCTAACCAGGTAAAGCTCAAATTCTAGCCAAAAGCAAAATGAGGTAAGGCCAGAAATAATATGTTCAAGTCCAGCTTTCGAAAATCTTTATTTTCTTCTCCAGGACATTACAAACAGTATCGAATATTAATTGAAACCATTACAATATCAGCGAAAAAATGCTTTGTTCATAACCAGTAATCAAAAAAATGGCGTCAAGTAGATTGACTCTATACCTCCCACGCCTTCGTTGGAGGTTTCAAAGAACAAGGATGAGGAAAATCGTTGGAAAAGGCGAATAACCTCCAGCCCCCTAGTTTCTACCGCTACAAAACTAGACCGATTTTCAAAAACTACAAAGCCTTTTAATCCATGGCATGGATGAAAGTTTCATCAAACTCCAAGCGCTACTTTTCAAGTTATTTTCGATCATAAAATTAGCGGACAGATACAGACAGACAGACAGACCGATGAAAATGAGTGGCATGGTTTTTCGTGTGGTACATGTCATATAACATCCAAAAAACATAATATCTCAATTTCGAAGTTTTTCGCGATTACAATACTTCCTCGGCAGTTTTGGCATAGGAAGTAAAAAAAAGAGGAAGACCATTATTACTAACGTAGACTATAAATACGAGAAGATCGAAAACCCATGAAATCACGTAAATTCCATAGTATTACTTTGTAGGGTTTTAACCAAACAACATTATAGTTGCTAAAATTACAAACAATATGATTCTCACCGGTGGGGCACTCCTACCCTGACACCTCCATGTGGGCGCCCATGGCAAACAGTGTTGTAAAGTCAATTCAAGTGGATAGAAAGTGCAGGCTAGCAAGGTTACTATGAAACATTGGTCGGAATAGGATATGGGTGAAGGTATGCTTCTATGAAAAATTAAATTATATACAGGGAGGTTCAGAGAATATTACTGAGGCAGAAAATGCAGCCAGGAGTAGTAAAAAACATTTGACGAAAAATATGGTCCTAAAATGTCCAACTGCAAGGATATAGGCTGTTGTAAATTTATACAGCACTGATGGGAGTGAATAAGAACAAGACATGTGTGTTGTTTGAATAACGCTACGATGAGCTAGTATTACTCTTCTAATACACTTCATACAATTTTCAAGGCTTCAAACTTCACTAATTGCAGCCTATCTTCAAAGAAGACCGGTTTGAAGCTTTTGTGCCGATTTTTACTTCAAATATTGAATAATAGGTAGTGTGAATAATAATTTATCAAGAATGACAATGCATGTAAAATTGATTACCTTATTCAAAAATGAAGTAGATGTTTAAAAAAAGCCAGGGGCGTTAAAAATACCTACATGCCTTTTCTCTTCTGTACGCGTCAAAACTGCCCAATGTCTACGCCACTGGTATAGTCTCAGGCTATGTATTGGTTATGATATCAGTACTGGAAGTTCAAACAAGTCAATATTCTAATCAACTCCGCGGATATTTTTTTTTTAAATTATTTGTAATATCAACATCTTGTATCGCGGTAAGGGGGCAACCTGCATATTTTTTTAATCTACTTTGTGCCAATTCTTTCTGACGCACCCTGTACAGTTGTAAGCATAATTCGAAAAAATGTTAGTCGATGATATATTTAAAGGCCTCCTCAAACCGTGGCTTTTCCGGAATTAGAAGCTATGAATCATGCTTGATAAGCGACCATTTATCGATGACTAATTATTTGATCGTTAGGAAAATGAAACTGTTACAATTCTTAGGCACTTACGGACAGGAAATCTACTACAGCTATTCAACAAAAAATTAATTGGCTACTACTGCTGCTTGATTCAATTATAGTTATCTGCTTTGCTGTGCCCTTAGATATCTTTTCCTAAGTTAAAATAGCCTAGGAGAAATAAGAGCTTCCCACGGTAGAACTGGAAGTTTATAGAATCCTTCCTGCCTTTTAACACTGAAACTATTGATAAACGTGTTCTCCTAGAAGATGTCTAACAGTATACTGTATTTGGAAGTTCACCTACAATTTCTACCGTCACAACGGAATCGCAGAACTTCATTCAGAACTAATGAAACCAGTTTATATGTTCCTATTGAAGAAAATTGCTCACTACATCAGTCTTCCAAGGTTATACAGCAGAATCCCTCGACAGGTACATACATAGTTGTAAACATAAGTTATTGGCGACACCTATTTCCGCATTCAATTGAATAGGGTATCTTTTTGTACACTGATGACCCACGTAGGCAGAAGCCTTCATACTGGGGCACCGCAGCTGTTATAAAGAAACGTTTTTAATCCAATTTTTGAACTGCCTAAAATTGTGTAAGTAAGTGATAAATCCTCGTCAGGCAGATTGTTTCACAATATCCACACCTTAGGGACAAAGGAGCGATAGTACCGAGGAGTTCTGAATGTACGAGGTTCTGGGCCTTGTGCAGAGTGAGGAGGTCATGTGGAGAAAAGCGCTTCTTAGCTCTAAGCAAATAGACTAACTTTTTCCCAGCAGCTGTCGCTATTGACGAGAGATGTTCGTGCCAGATCATGTCCTCGGTGATCTGGACTCCGACTAGCCGAAATGAACGGCTCTTCAGCAAAACTCGGCCATCCATTAAAACCGATCGAGAACTAAAGCGCTTCTTGTTAGCCAAGTTACTGCACTGTGTATTGGAGGTGTTGAGCCGTACCTGATTGTTGCGTACACAAACATTGATAATCTCTAGATCTCTCGTCACAGAGGAAGTCGCGGTGCCCTTCATGTAGAGTGCTGTCTTCGAACATATTAATCAACGCTAGAACTAACCCAAAAATCACGTTTCAAGTATCTTAAATCTGTAGTCGCCCTGTACTGCGATGCAATCATTAAACCATAGAGATAATATTTGGCATAAATATCCAGTAAGTTTTGATATCATGGGAGAAGTGTCATGTCTTTAGAGTTAATCGCGTTTCACTGGTGCTAAACCAATTTATATAATCATGTTCTTTTGGTGCTCACTTTGTGCTACGAGTAGTTGTGCACGGAGTCTAGAAATGAAAGAAAATGTTTATTGACTGATGATAGCACAAGACACGAATTAACAGATAATTTAAGTTTTTTTGTTTGAGGCAAAGTGAGGATGAACCAAGGCAAAGTCTTTCAAACCCTGCAACTGTACCAGCTTTATCAAAAGGAGACGTTATAAGTATGTTCTCTTAGAGAAGCTTCTCCCTACAATCTCATATTTCGCATTCTGAGCTTGATGCTTTGATTTTGCAATTGATATTGATGCAGACCATTTGTAGTACGCCACTGCATCTTCCTGAGTACCCTTCTCTCACCGATACCACCTTTGCTTGGGTCTACTCAACCTGTACCTCGACAGAGATAAACTGTAATTACAACTCTGGCGGCCCAGTTTCGAAAAAAATTGTTCAGCAAAGCCTGAGCTTTTTTCCGGTTGAGATACGGCCGTAATGGGTGCGGACGACACTCTAACTGCCAGAATTATGCCTACTTGATGCGCCACTAAAAGCTCGGCTAATTTTTTCGGAAGGCCAAATGATCATGCGGAACGACCTAATTTGCAAGGGAATTGCAGCGAGATGCGACAAGGTGGTACTTTTTAGACCGTACGACATATGGGGAATACGATCTTTCGAAGTTTTTGCAGCACTGGTTAGCTTGCAGTACAGCTCTTGACGTTTTGCAAGTTTGATAGGAGGTTTATTTTCCTCGAGTACTTGAGTACCTACTAGATGTTATTTTGCTTTTTTACTCCCTACTGGCGAGTATTGTAATCGCAAAAAAGGTTCAAAAATGAAACATCATGTTTTACTTCCCACACCTACTGGTGAGGAAGCATTGTAATAGCGAAAAATTTCGAAATCAAGATGATTTTTGGATGTTATATGACATGTACATCACGAAAAACCATGTCATTTATTCCTGTAGGTCTGTCCGCTAATCTTTGGACCGCCTAGACTAAAAAATAATAAAATCCGTATCTCTATCATATTTTGTGTAATTTAATGTAAATATAGATGACACATCAGACTTAAAATTCGTCAAGCAATGTTCACAAATTACCACTCAATACTTAGTTTGCCAGCTAGTTGAATTAATGATAGAACTTATAACATAGTTGTTGCGTATTTTGATTGTAAATTAATTGCAATGCAATTTATTAACAATTATGATTAGGTAATTAAGCCCGAGTGGATAAATACGAAAAAATGCTTATACAGTATATAATTTGCTCATTTGCTTCATAGTAACACAGAATAATGCCAAGAAAGGGGAATCGTAAAATCTTGAACTTGAATAACAAAATTAATATAATAGATACTAGCAAATCTTTCGCCTTTCTCATGACGTTGGTTCATTTAGATTTTTGTTGACAACTCTTACGTGGATCCAGTTTATGCACCCAGCGAGCTGTATGTAAGGTTTCTGGAAATTATTTTCTTAACAATAATTTTCGACTACAAGCGATATAAGTGAAGTAGATGATGCTTAACGTTACAAGTAAAAGTCGGTCAATATAAGTATTTGCAATAATGGCGGATGCCAATAAGTAATTCACACGCACATTCACCTTATTTGAACGTTTTTGATTACATGTTCACCTGTCCATTAGAGCGATTTTGACAATTCAATAGCAATAGTTTAAAATGGCCTAAGTATAAAATACCCTTCAGAGTCTTACAGGAAAAAGATTTGGATTAATTGAAGAACAATGATAATAATAATAATATAAATGCCCTTTATTTAGATGGGCGTTCAACTTTGCAGGTGCTCTTCCACTTAACCCATAAATATTAACAAAACACTATACCACTATGACCCTTAGCGAAGTTGCTGATCAAACATGTTTTTGACTTCAGGCTTAAGCCTAGAAAATATACATTTTTTTATAATTTGATGGCAGACCCGATATACATTTTGCATTATAGGAAACTAAAGGCAGGCCGTAATAGTTTAGTGCGGAATATACCTAGGTCTTCGGATCTTACGAATATATTATGTAGGTATATCAGCACAAAATACAGGTGGGAGCAAAATAATTCTATGGAGAAGGCACAACGAGTGTAAGGTTCTTCTATTTAGCAAAAAAACATCATACAGTGGGTGAGATATTCTTTCACGTGTTCTTATTCGATAAATAAAACGTAAGCCTGAGTTATGAACAATTTGGATTTTGTGTTTATAGGAATCTGTAAGACAATATAGGACGCCCGAATAGTTGAAATGCGAGAGAACCAAACATTCGCATCATTGTTTAAATGTTTAAATATATAAAACAATGTCTGTTTCAATACAATAACTTAGACTGTTAACATGTTCCTCAAATGGGAAGTCGGTCTCAAAGGTTTTTAGGTATAACTCGAAAACGCTCAACTTTAGAGACCAGTTATATACTAAAAATATTTGTTGTTCAGAATGAATGAGAACATTAATTCAAGAAATTTGCACCGGGGGTTATCTTCCAACAGTCTCTTGATTTGATCAGGGGGTATGGGCGTTAAAGAGCCTAGCGGCTGCATAAATTGATATGGGGGGTGATGCAATGGTTAATTTGTATTTTTGTAAATACATAAAAGTAATTTCGTGGGGTGCTAGAAAATAATCCTCAAAGTGGGCAGTAGACGAAATTAATTTGAGAACCTCTGCTGTTGATTCATGTTAAGGGGCACCCAAAACATGAATGAAAGGAGAAATGGAGTCGGACAATTTCTCTCACGAATCTGAGGTTTTTGCACCCTCTATCTACTAATAGGGAAGAAAAAGTTGTCCTGGTTAAGAAGTATCAGACAATCGATAGATTTATTGTTTTTGAGCCCTTATAAAAAAAGCAGAAGTTAGGGCAGAGTTTGCTACGAAAATCGCTAGCCTCCAATAGTATGTCTTACAATATCTGAAAGGCTTGAAGCAGCTGTTTATCAATTTTATTCTATGTTAAAATCTTACGGTAGTTACTGATTTTTTATACACGTGAGCAGGCATCCAAGGGTGTCTTGAAAATTGAAAGAAAAAAATGAAAAGAGGTTTTAGTAAAATCGGCAACATAATGTTTGGCTCGCATATATTCTTTTTTACTGTTTTTGCGAGAATTTATAGGGGAAACAAGGATTTTGATTTGACAAAATACTTAATAGCATTTGACCTTATCTAAAGGCCGGCTTATTCAACATTGTCATAGTCATAAGCACACGAGATGAAATGCGTATTTTTTTATGAAAGCGTGTATGCAGCTTGTCATAATTATAGTCAAAAGCATAAGCCCTTGTAATAAACATAACACCGTTGACTACGATTGCAAATGTATAAATCAACCTTAATCGATCAAAGCGGTTCAAACTAGCAGTCTTCATTGCCTCCTTTAGTTTATAATATCTAATGTGTTCGTTGTGCTTTTCAAGATGCTTTTAGACCAACAGACAGGAACACAGCTTGCAGCTTCGTTCCTTAACTATGTCAGGCTCATAATCTCCAAAAGCCCAACACTGTTCCCAGTCATCTGGGATGTACCTATATAACATCAGACGTCACAAACCACATGGTAAATCAACACATAGTGAACCACCTACCTTCATAATGGGTAATCACAACACATCACAGCTTGTAAGTACCTAAATTGCACCTGTTCCACATCAAGATCACAAAAAAGAGAGAAGTCCGCCGAGATACGTTGACAGATGACAGACCGTGCACCACCTTGAAGAACGTGAAAGACAAATGAGTAGCGCGCGGTGTTGCGCGTAGTGAAGAAAGAAACCAAAAGAGAGAGAATCCGTCGATGTGCGTTAAGCATGCATATGAAAGTGTGTATGTGCTGTTCTCTGCCTGCCTGCGTTTTGCCAGTGCCCGCCCACGCCATACTTTTTGCGCCCCGCCCGTCAAGGAAAAAATGAGAATCGCCCCGAAACGTCAGCGCCTGACACGCCCCTCCTCCCTTCTCTAACAACGTTGTTACAACCAGAGGGGAAATTGTGGCCACGGCACAATCGGAAAAGCTCCCGGTGGTAATTGTGCGTGCTGACGATAGAGGGCGCTAGAGAAGCGCTGGAAGGGTATGTGAAGGTGCGGTGCTGCCAAATCTACTTGGGGTGGAAGCAGGTTGGGGTTATTTCAGGATAATATGTGATATGATAACAAGAAATTAAATCCTAAAATGTTGTATAAGAATGTAGTTTAGAATACCGGGTGTCTCAAATTCTACCCTCACCATTGAGATCTCGGAAATGGTAAGAGTTACGAAGTCGCTTAAATGGAGGTAAAGTAGCGTGGGCATTTAGGTAACTGACAAAATGCCGCTCATGACCGTATCGGCAGTCGTTTCTGCAGCTGTATGACCGCTTTATAAATAGAGTTTATAATTCTGATTCAAGAAATGTATAATATCTCCTACGTTGGCATTGCCAAAACTCAGTTATTTCAGAAAAACAGAATTTTCTAAGAAGGCCTTGCAATTATCAGATAGTTATTTGTTATAATACACCAGACCTCAAATTAAACATAGTAATAGGGTTTGGAATACTGAGAGGAAGAGACATAGTGCAGTGAACAATACTATAAAATGACGGACGGCGTTTTGAACATCTACTATGATTTATCCTTCCTTATTTATGATTATTATTGCTATTACCATCAATAAAATTCCATTTCTTGTTCACCATATTTTTTTATTTTTTTATAATTTTCGTTACAACAGCAAATTAGACGTCAAATAAGAAAATATATCACTGAATTTAGGACTGAACACTCCATTTAAATGTGTAAAATTCCATATGAAAGAACGCAGTTAATGATGGAGAAACCTTGAATTGAGAATTTTTCTACGCCATCTTGTATGAGAGAAAAAGTGTCAATATATATATGCA